GTGTGCCTTGGCAGTCTAGTAGCTAGATAGAGTCTCCCTATGATTGAGGTTTTGTTCATGCATAGGGTAGATTCTTTTAATTACATTCCCTTATTTGTTTTGTGTATTTTTTACATTTTGGATTTGCTTGGCGAGCTATTTTTAGAACATGCCCCGCGGGCGACTCACATTGCCCCTGCGGGCACCGTGTTGGCTACCCCTGGTCTAGATGAACGCTAGAGGAATCTAAACAGTTAGGTAAGAAATACGTAAATAGCTAATCAAATGCAGAGAGAACAACTGCGTAAGGTTCAGATTTTTGGTAAACAAACAAAAGTGGCAAGAACACAAAGAAAGTTTCCCCAAGGTGTAATAAAAGTATGGTAAAAACCCTCTTTTCGCATCCAAAACTAAAGGCCATTTTAAATATGTTACATGCATTGTTTACAACCATGTCTGAAAGATAGTGGTCTTTCCTTTGTTGGGACATTACCGTTTTTTGTGTCAACCTTGTATGATTGTGCAAGACAAAGAAAGAAATGGGGACCCACTAGTTAATGAGAAGTGATTCGAAATAGCCAACAAAAATAACAAAACATTGCTCCTTAGCGTTCAAAGTGCTCAAAGATTCTACAGGGCACCTTAAAGTAGTCCCATAAACAGAAACATATATTAAGTTAACATGACATGTTAGACATTAAAGAAACTGCTGGTTCAGAAAGGCCAAAAGGTATTAGTAACCTAAATGTTAACATTTTAAGAGCTCATTTTAGGAGCTCAATGGAAATAACCCCACTTCACACTTTCCTAATACTGTGTCAGCAAATGACAATGCAAACAAACCACTAGATGACCATGAGCCCTCACAGTAACCTTTAAAATGCTGTACATTAGCAATACATTAGCAACACAAAACAGGTGATTAACGTCTTAAGTACCCCCAGTGTTCTCCCTTTCAGGAACAACAAGACTAATCTTCCTCTGCACTCCCCTCTGCTTTGTTTCCACATAAATCCGCCAACAAACCCTCCCAGCAGCAGGTCGGGATGCCACAGAGTGGAGTTATGAGGTCATGTCAGTGAAAGCTAACAGCTGATGAAACAACAGCCTGGGTTTGCATCAACTAATACTGAGTAAAACATTAGTTACAGGCTGATTTCAGGTAACAAATACTTCCCCACAGCCAGCAGAGGAGGCTCTTACCTGGGGGAGCTGTACAGCGTGGTGGTCGGGCTGCTGGAGAGGTTCTGCTTGATGCGCTGGTAGTTCCGGATCTGCGTGGGAACAGGGATGGGGGTGGTCTCAGCCCGTGGGGACACCATGGGGGTCTGTCCAGGGGTTGGTTGCGGCTGCCTGTTGGGGAAGAACGGGGAGAAGGGGGCAGTTAGCCATTCTGCTCGATGCTGCTGCTGCTTCCATAATTCCAGGACATCTTCAGGGGGGTCAACACCCATAATAAGTTAAATATCCAAAGGTTTATAAAGCAGGACAACTCTAAAATGTTCTTTCTACTGCATGTTTACTTCAGAGTGGAGTCAGGTTGAGGAACTTAAGTTTAGCCTGGCGGATCATCTGATGAAAAAAAAGAAAGGGGGCCAGGCTTCCATGTAAACAGAAAGGGCAGCCCCAATCAGCTTCGAGCTCTTGTTGCTGGGGGCGTGGCTAGAGGCAGGGCCGGCCAATGGCACGTGTGAGGCCGGTTCTCTGATATAAGCACAGACACAGCTGGGGGAGTGCAAGAAGCCAAAGCTCATTTGCATTCTTTTGTTATTCCACGGGAGACAAAATGTTCTTGAGCATACAGAATGCAAAAAAAAGGAGGAGGAGTAGGGGGAAATGGGCCTTTAAGAGTGCGACACCAGTTGGAAACCAGTGTTATGTAATGATGTGGAGACTGGGAGGGTCTACGAGAGGGTGAGCAGGAGGACACGTGAGGCAGAGACTAGTCCAGACAAAGAACCAGAGACTGTATCTCAGAATAAATACAATCCAACAAACAATTGATACAGTAACCCATGAAGGAGGCTTTCTATTTTTTATTCAGGTGCCTAAAAGCTTTACTACCCAGACAGGGCTTAATGTGGAGAGGACTGTAGTGCGCAGTCCTTTTTAAAAGGGAGAGATAAAGAGAATGTGTAGGTCACTGAACCGCTGCTTTTAAGAGTGGCAAGAGGAGAGAGGCTGCATCTGAAGTCAGTTGCCTCTCTGACCTGGTTTCTGCCTCAGAGAGGGGGATGGCATCAAACCAATCCAGCCTTTCTTCTTCATCATTCGTCCCCATTTGCTTACATCATCTCTCTCTTTATTCTAACACCTTTTCCAGGCACCTTGCGATTCTCTCTTCTTCCTCAACTCAAATCAATTTAGTACCCACAGGGCACAGACGATAAACAAGGCTTTGATTTAGAAAGTATTTTTGAGTGTGTTACTATTTTGCAAGGCGCAACTACGATCATGAAGAACAAATGTGTTTTTCCCGTGTCAATCTTTAACTAATTGATGTAAGCAGTACAGAGTTATTGCTAGGGAGAAAAGTGTTACAGGACAGCAAAGGGAGGGGATAAAGCTGCTGCATGGACGGTTGGAGGATGACACAGAACGGCAACAAAAACAGAGCATAGAAAAAAGGGAACAGAGAGAGAGAAGAGAACGGTTTTGCTCGAGGCTGTTGACACATGCAAACAGGAAAGCAGGGAGATAGAAGAAGTGACTGCAGGTTGTTGTAAAAGGGAGGGGGAGAAAGAACAAGACCAAAGAGAGACAGGCAGTAGCAGGAGTTAAGGGAGCAGAACATTTGTATAAAACATTTTAAAGAGGCCCAATTATGTTTTGGGTTTCCCCTTTCCTGTTTCTAAACTTTTAAATATTTTAAACTTGTAAACTTACTTTTTGATATTGCTGCTACTTTTTACCTATTAACATGGATGTATAGTTATTTGTATTTTATTTTATTTTATTAACATGTGCTTGCCTTTTTTATGATATGTTAATCTGCTCATCTTATTGTTGCAGTTTATCAGCACCGTTCCACTGTGGGAAAAAAAGATTTTTGATTATATGGGATATTGGGAATAAGTAAAAGAAATTAGCAACAGACAGCATTAGTTCTTAAGGTTTCATAGAGAGGCAAAGTCCCGCCCTTCTACCCTCTAAAATTATGTATTGAAGTCAATGGGGAGGGAAAGATTATCTCTCGATCCCGTTTGAATTGTGTCACGAATTACACATATGATGTTTGTCGATCTTAAAAAATCATTTCCATGTCAAAAAAGTCACAGTTTGTCGTAAAACTGTTGAAATATAAGACTATGAAAAATACGCAACTAGAAAAACTACAAATCCCAGAGACGTGTACATTAACGTTACACATTACACTCGTGTTACTCACCGAAACCTTGTAAAGCCGGTCCCGCATGCTGGCTCTTACGGAACCGACTAACTCCCCTTGTGTGTATGTACAGTTCTCAACATGCCCAGACTTGAAGTGATTTTCACCTCTTTTAATACTTTTCGCCCTCATTCTGAAAGAAAGACGTGAAATGTGCTAACGTGACGGCCATCTTGATGTTGGTGACGTATGCGAAACCAGAGATGTAGTTCATTGAGCGCTTCACACAAAAAAATGTGTCACTTCCGTTTTACGACAAAAAAAAAGCATCTTTTAAATTGACAAACATCATATGTGTAATTCGTGGCACAATTCAAACGGGATTGAAAGATAATCTTTCTCTCGCCATTGGCTTCAATACATACTTATCCCGAAATTAGGTCCCATGGAGGTCAACCGGAAGGGGAGGGACTTCGCCTCTCTATAGACGGAAATATGTGTTTAATTATTTTATTTTTACCTGAAACTAGAGTAAAAAAAAAAAAAAAGCTTCTCTGATCAGATATAGCTAGTGGAAGGTACAAAAAGGGTCAAATATCAGGGAATAACTGCTGGACAGGAGAATGATGAATATAAGTGGTTAATTCAATAACATGGATGTAAACCTGAAGAAAAAGGACGGTAACATTGAGAGCAGAGTGTGTTAGCAGTACATGTAAGCGTGTTGTGATATTTTAAGTACACAGGCCCAGTAATAACACAGTTTGTCAAAGCAGCAGATTTGGGCAGTGTGCACGTCTATTCTTATCACACAGCCCTCGTGGGTCGGTGCTTTATTTAGCGCAGAACCACCTTGTTGTTTGGCTCAATGATTCATATCTTACTCACCAAACACATTAGGAGGTGTGCAGGATAATTCACTCATGACAAATGGACGGTGTGTGTGTGATATGTGGTGTTAAGCTGCAGTTGGCCAGAGAGACAAAAATAGGGTAGTGAATTAACAAAGGAGGCCTCGCTGAAATAAAAACATGCAAACAATAGATGTTATGACCTTCCACACATGAAATCAAGGCTGTGTTTGAATCTGACTCAAAGCATCCTGTCACACTTCAATCTGCAGCATTCTTAAAGGCTTTGCAGACCCTTGTAATGCTATTTAGACTTTATTATATGACTAATGTATTACCAGAATAAACCAACAAATACATGTTACATTTGTTGTTAACACAAGCCCCCTATACAATCACAATTTTTTATAAACTTTTGTACGGATTAAATTCAGGAGATGTTAATAGGCAGATTTAGTTTAATTTGGACATAGTCAAAGTGCGTGTTTCCCTGTATTTCCAGTCGTTATGCAAAGTTACTGTTAGAAAGAAAGCAAATGAGGGTGTGTGCATTACTGTCTGTTACAGCTTTATGACTTTGGGAATCAGTGTTCCTGTTGAGATTTCGTTTCTCTTCATATAACTTTTCCTCTTTTCTGAGCTTTTCTGTCAGAATTAGGAGAGAAAAAATGATTCTTACATTTTTTACAAAAATTCACTTTAGGTCAGATCTAAAAGAAATGTCACATGTGCCTCATCCTCTTGCATAGGTTCACAATGCACGATACATTTGTGTGTGTTTTTAATGACATATTTTGGTACAATATCCAAACCAGTTTGGAAGAACGCATCTTACTCACCCCCACTCACTGGACAGTCGACGACCCGCTCCCATTGGCTGGTCGTCTGAGGAGGGAGAAAGAAAGAAAGACAACAATTATAAAGAGGCAACAGTCTTTACTGATGTATGAATCAACAGTAATCAGGTGATTAAATGACTACATTGTGTTCATTGTTTGAGAGGAGGACTAGCAGGTGGGTGGGTGTGTGTGTGTGTGTGTGTGTGTGTGTGTGTGTGTGTGTGTGTGTGTGTGTGTGTGTGTGTGTGTGTGTGTGTGTGTGCATGCGTGTGTGTGTGTGCAGCAGTTGCAGAGGGAGTGGGTTCATTTTATCAGTCAAAAGGGTAAGTGTGCGTACCTTCTGTTTACGGACTGATGTCTACGATTACAGCATGAAATGGTTAGCAGGTGTTTAACGTAATGGCGGTGGATTTGGTGACATGTGTTGCTTGAGTGTGTTTGAGTGTGTGTGTGTGGTGTAGGTATTATTGGCAGGTAATGAATCCGACCTCACATTACATATACTTCCAAGACATCTGCTTGCTTGTGCAGAACAGATGTCCGTTTTGTACTGTATGTACAGTGGAGAGGGTGAACATAACACTGATTGTGAAAGAACATTTCCCAGGTCAAATGATTTCAAACTGTATAACTACCAATAAGTTGCTTTACTTGACGACATACTAACAACAAATCGAATTACAAAAAAAAAAAAAATTGTAACCAACCAAATGGAAGTATTTTCAGATACTGGTTGGTTGAGTTCGCTGTCCCTATTCTCCACAACCTCAAATAAAGCATTGAGTTTTAAATATGACTATTTTCCGACATTTAATCCTTGTCCCCTCCCATCCCTTCTCCCTCATGTCTCTGGTCCAGAACTATACATTTTGTTGGGGAGCACTGATAAACTTAATACATATCATGTTTTATTCTTATTTTCAATAAAAAAAAAATTGTTTTGGTATGAAAAGGTAATAAGTTATATGGGAAGTATTCTCTGTAAGGAAAGGTCTTTGTGTTGTGAAAAGTTATGATATATATATTCATGTTGCGATATACTAAGGATCAACAATACATTGACCATTATTCCTAAACATTTAATCAAAATGGCTATAATAAGGTTAGATTCTGCAAACTGTTTTTTATATTTTCTTGCTGTAAGTATTGTATTCTTGCTGTGAAAATAATACGCAATTCTTTTTGCAATAACCCCCAGCTCGACAGGTAATATTTTGCATTATAATCAGGTGAGTTACAGAACACACAGTAGGGTACAGTATGTGCGTGCACTCACAGCTGTCAGTGGAGATGTGAGGCACCAGCACAAAGTCGTCAGTATCGGAAGACGAGTTCTTGCTGCTGGTGCTTCCTGCAGACTCTTTGGAAAGCTGCAGGAAGTTGGGCGGACCGAGCGGAGGGGACGACAGACCGTCTTCTGCTAGAGTCTGCATGTCCGGGAGAGACTGTGTTCACAGAGAGAGAAAGAGAGCAAGAGAGGGAGGGTGAGAGAAAGAGGATTAAGTTGTAATGTGCCTCCTGAATGATGCAATTAAGGCTGTCAAACTTAAAGTGGACGTATTATACTATATTGGAAAAATATATTGTAGGGCCATACCTATACTACGGAGCCCCTAAAGGGACATGGAAAAAAAAAAAAAATGGAGAGAGAAAAAAAATAAAGTCAGGAAAACGGATTCATTTCTCGTGCGCACGAGAAACAAATCCGTTTTCCTGACTTTATTTTTTTTGAGAAAGTTACCGATGCACCAAGGAGGAAGTGGAACACACATTAGACAACCATTTCATTGCAGACTGTTATGTTTACGTGGGGAAATGACAGAGCATACATTATTTGAGATAGACTATATTTTGAAGTCAGACTTAATTTTATGGACATTTCGGCCAGGGGTGTAGAGCTATTGGTTTAAGCACCGGATTGGCAAAACAGGAGAGTTTGTAAACCAGTCTGCTTTGATCTATGAATTAATGTCCGTGACTCGCAGAGTACCTGCTTCCCCCGCAGCTTTTTNTTCTGCCGCTCCACATTGCTTTTCTTCCCGACTGCGGGGAGAAAAGCAATAGGTCGATATTCATTATGGGGGTGGGGGGAGGAGGGGTGTTAGATAGATTATCTATCTAACACCCCTCCTCCCCCCACCCCCATAATGAATATCGACCTATTGCTTTTCTCCCCGCAGTCGGGAAGAAAAGCAATGTGGAGCGGCAGAATCTACACAACACATCAGCCCCATTGAACAGCCTAGTCATGCCAGCCTTTACAACAGTTGAAATTGTTATTGGTTGTGATCATATTCTAAAGATGTTTGGATTATTGAAAAGTATACAGCTCTCTTCCATCTGAGTGTTGAGAGCTGTATCCATAAATTCATGTTGTGCTCAAAGTGCACCAGATTGATGCATTTCACTTCAACATTTAAAATAAAATCTTCCCGGGGTGCATGCCCCCGGACCCCCCTAGAGGAGGTGAGGTCCACCTCCAACTAAAGCAAGTTAAAATAATTAAATTGCATACATTTTATTTTAGTAAACACTGAAAACGGGTCCCACAGACCCAAACAGCACACAAAGGTTAAAGGTAAGCATATAATAATGTTAAAATGTTCTAAATATATAAAAGAGGAATAAAAGTAGCCCCCCGACTTGTTTTATTTTTTTGAAAGTAGCTCTCATCCTAAAAAAGGTTGGTGACCCCTGATCTAGACTGATCATGTACTCATAGGTCTGAAAACTGAATGAATGTTGCACCTTTAAAAGTCTGCATACATACTTCATGTTTTTTGTGTTTGATTTAGGTCCGGCACAGTGAGGCGCTCCAACACTAGTCCTATGGGGTTTCCCAAGGTGGCCTCGGGGTCCCCCAGCTCGGCGGACGTCCCTCAGACCGTCAGCAGGCGTCTCTCCACCGGCAGCTCCCGGCCCTACTCTCCCTCACCTCTGGGTAAGGACACGTCTGGATATGTCTCAACTTTTGAATAACACCTTCCAGACATGTGTTGGACGTGTCCAGAAGCTCCCAGTGAAAATGATGTGTTTGTGTTTGCAGTGGGCACCATCCCCGAGCAGCTGGGCCACTGCTGCTGTCACATGCAGAGCCACGAACCCCGCAGCCGCAGCTCCTCAGGAGGTCAGTTCACTGGCAGCACTACAGCCTGGTCACCTGCTTCACCCACATCCACATTAAACCCAACTGTGTGTCTAAGCATTTACATGGGATGTGGGTTAATGAAACAGCCAATGGTAATCAGATCAAATAAAAATGTAAAACGTCAAATGGATCTTATCAAATGCAAGGTCAAGCAAATCAACAATTTCTCTGGTAGGGACATCCAGGACATATTTAGACCATACACTCCAGCATCTGCCCTTCGCTCTGCATTGGCTAGCAAGCTCCCCGTTTAAAGATCAGAACAATAGAAGGTATACACATCTTCATTTGCAGGCTAAGAAAATGCGTTATTCTCTATGTAGCAATGATTAGGCTGATTGAAAGCTAATGTACTTAAAGAATGATGGCTTTTTTAGAATTTGTAAAGCTGAATGCACTTATTGTAAGTTTCTTTGGAAAAATTGTCGGCTAAATGTATTGTAATAATGTAATATAAAATGAACCATATAGATCCAATGATACAAATTATCGGTAACAGTTAAATGAGATAAGGCCACACAGTATAATATGATATGCATTGGCATTCAAAAAGGTAGTAACGACCTTAACTGCAGTTGTTGCCTTGTTATCTCATGTGTGTCATAACTTTATAATTCCTTGGGTTACAATAGGTCAAGGTCTTTTTAAAAGTCATGATATAAAAACACTACAGATATCACGTCTTGGAACTCCTTCACTGTTTGCGTCAGGACCTTTGCTGTCATGGTGACCGCTTTATTATGAGGAAAGTGTACTGTCTGAAATAAAGCCAGACTTTGGCCCCTATTTTGAAAAGGCATACAGTAAAAACAAGCAGATTTAAATACCAACACAGTGTCTTTGGACAGTCTCAGGACTGTTGTTCTTTGACTGGTGTGACGCACAGCGCTCATTCAAAGTGTCACCAGTAGCATCACTCCCTGCTGTTTTTCTTTTACTCAGAGCTGAGGGACAAATGATTTAGTTATGACTCCCTCATGCCACATTTTCTGTGATCAGTTGAAATCAGATCTAGACAGGTTTTTTAATACACTATGCTTAATGGTCCATTTACTTAAAGAGCCTGTGACAGCCTCCCAACAACTGTTGTGCAATGAAATATTGGGCTACTAGTAATCTCGAACCGTCAGCTTAAAAAAGAAGGTGCGATACCGTTCCGATAAATATCAATAATTTCGAACATCGCGGGGAAATTCCTTCGACTCATTTTGATGTTTTGGGGGAAGCCGGAAGTGACGTCAATGCGGGAACGCTTCACTGTGCGGCGAGAGAGCCAAACACGGACAAAGTGTGTTGTCATGCGTAGAAATGGTGAATTACTGAGTTTAGGCACGTTAATAACGTTTTAATGAAGTTGACTACAGTATATTCATATTTGTCAGTGCTTTCATGTCAATTCGGCGAACATAAACATAAATGATCGTGGTGAAGATGATGATGATTAAATTAGGATTACAAACCGGTAGTGAGAGCTGCTGAATTTCCTCCCGTAGGATGTGATATAAAAACAAATCGATTATTTTTGTAGTTGTAAACTCAAGTGGATGAAACTACATTTATTAGTGCTTTCATGTCAATTTGGCGAACATATGATACATTAAATGATCGTGAGGATGATGATTTAAATTAGGATTACAAACCGGTAGTGAGAGCTGCTGAATTTCCTCCCGTCGGCTACATGACCGTATGATC